GCTGCCTATCACAAGGGGGAAAAAAAACAAAACCAAAAACCAGAACTCCAACAGAAAGCCAACAAACAGCAAAGGAACAGCAAACGAACACAACAAGCAAATCTCTGCAGAGAGATTCAAGAACGGACTTTGAAACAAGACAGCTGCAAATTCACAGTACACATGAGGCTTGTAGTCATTGCAAAACCTTTCCACTGATGGTTCAGGTGTGGTGACAGTCACCTCCCTTCCACCAAACTGGTGCAACACGAGTTTCCTGCATGCCTATTACACACTGCTTTCCTAAAAGCCACATGGGACAACAGGATGGTGCTGGCTGCCTGCAATGAGCACTCACAGCCCATGCTGGAATGAGGGGGATGCTCTAGTGGACTCAGGGCAGCCACAAAGGGGAAGCCCTGAGAGATGTCAAGCTTGAGAAAAAGGCTGAGCAAAACCAAAGAACATGACCAAGAAAGAGCAGGACACAATATAGCACCCCAGAATTGCATAGGGCAAGGGGAATGAGGGTCCTGAGCGCAGGACACCCCAAATAGCATTCCCTGCATGATCCTTTCTTGGCTTAAAGGCATCAAATCAGCCTCTCCCCTGGACTCTTCCACCTGAATGATGTGAGGAAAATAATATTGCCTTAAGAAGCTGGAAACATATAGCTAACCCAGAAGGAGCAGGATGAGTAAAGCAGAGGTACACTGTAAAGGGCTCCTGAGCTGAGAGAATGCCTTCCCCAGGGGGACTCCAGCAGAAAATGAAAAAGCCTGGAAACAGAGGGTGCCTGGCCAGCATTGGCTCACAGCAGGCAGTCCAGGACAGCACTTCCCTCTCAGTGCTGGACCAGGGAGGGAGAGGCAGGCAAGCTGGTGTCTCAGGGCCGGGTGAGCACAGGATACGTGACCCCACGTGTCAGCTTGAATTAAGGCAAGGAGTGCCACTGGGCCTTGCTGCCCTGCACTCCCCTTCCTCTCTGGACCTGGGAAGGAGAGCTGGGGCTGTGCAATAGGCCCAGCTGTCAGATCCTCCTACATCATCTGCAAAGCCATCGACCCTCTCGGGACCTTTGGGAGGGGAAAACAAATAAGACCCAGAATGCACACTTACAAAAAGCCTACTCTATTTTTGGTTTTAGGATTTCACTGCGCTTCTGCTGTGTTCAGGAAAGGTTCTCCCACAGAGACTGCAAATGCAAAGGGGGAAAAATGGCAGAATGGATCCAGGTTTTGAAGAAAAAAGCACAAAGGGACATCTTCCACTAAGATGGAAAAGAAAGGTGCATACCCAGCAAAACCTCTGGCTCTCTGATGTGCTGTCTAAGGACTAGGGCCTGATTCTGCGTTTATGGAATATGAACCTGATAACTGAGGTTTACAGGAAAACCTCCCACAGTGCCTTAACACGGTGCCATAACAACATCCCTGGCTAGAGAAATCTGCACACAGAAGGATAAGAATTTCCAATGCCTCCTTTATTTGGTATTTATTTCTAGAACTGGGGACCAGTCCAAAGTTTTGCTTATCAGTTAGTGTTTAGGAAATGTACTGACTTCAAGCATATCAATCTCCAAGATAACCACTCTCTGGACTTCAGCTTAGAAGGAAACCTTTACAAAACATCAGCTCAACAGGGCAGGAGAGTTTCTCGGGCTGTCTAGCTTTAAATGCCAGGCATACATTTCAAGTTCAATATGATTCCACATATAGGTTTAAGATCTACTTCTACACAGCTTTAAAAATTGTTTTAGTGCACATATTTGGTGTGTTTAATTCACTTCTTTACTGTGTTTTAGTACCTGGCAGAATTTGAGAATTTAATTTATTTTAAATTAAATAAACATTTTATTTAATTTATTGCTATATATGATAATTCCATAAAATCCCTTTCTAAGCCAGAGTATCAGTGTGACTCTCATCGATGAAACTCCTTGCTATTGTCAGTAATCATTTTTAAACACGGGTTTAATCTTCAGTCTGTGATATCACAACCTAAGGTCTCAGCTGTGCCTGGAATTATTCTGTACAAAGAGGGTGTAAACACTTGCATAAAAATCATGTAGTCACATCCAAATTGTTGGATTGAAAGGAGGTGTAAAAATGGTAGTTAACAGTGCTTCATACACAGAACTAAATTTACAACAGCCTCAAATTAAAAAGCGGGTGGAGATTAAGAGGTGTCTTGATGAAAAATGCTGATTCAAGGCTTCATTTCTATTCAGTGATGTACAGTGTCATTACTGGGTGGCTGCACAGAGCAGTGGCTCAGAGTAATTACCCTGTAATGCACAGTGACACTAATGTACTAGTAAACTACTGCAGTTTATACTCTATTCACCACCAGCGTCAGGACTCTGAAAGGCAGGTAAAAATCCCCTGCATGCATAAACAATGTGTGTAAATGTCACCAGTGATAAAATTTTTAAAAAGGAAAAGGAAGAGGCAGTTACAAATAAATCTGTCAGCTGAGAATTGCAACTGCATAGACCCACAGGAGCAGTAAAGCTGTATTTTTTTTGACAATACAGGAAGGAAAGATGTTTCTCTTAAAGCATCCTACCCAGGTTCTATTTCCATTTATTACAATTAAAACTGTATGGTGGCTGCTTCTTTTTGCCACTCTGAGTGCAAAATTGGCTTGCACGTGGTGCTCAGCTTAGTGCAAGGGTAAGCATGGAGGGGAAATGAAGAGCACCACAGGAGCAGCCAGAAGCATTAATGGTTTATTCTGACTGTCATAATGCTGCTCTGGTTTTAGAGATCCAGCTACAGGAAATGTGAGGAACACAAGCTTAAGGACAGGTGGTTTTGACTCCTTTGTTTAAAACAGCTCTTGTGGATGAAGCTTGGAACATGACCCAAGCATGTCCTAAGGTGTCAGAAAAAGCAGACAAACAAAAAGGAATTATGAGCCTAATATACTTATGGAAAAAAAATTATTACAATACTCTAATGGGTTTTGGATGCTGAGACTAGAAATGAGGCAGCAGAGCTACACATCTCACATTCCAGGGCCAGAGGAAAGCCTTGCTCTTCCCCCAGGAGACAGTGCCAATTACTATGTTTTTAAAACCTCTAGTCACCAGCTAATAGATTGATGCCTCCAGAGCTGGCTTTCTCTCTGGCCCTTTCCTATTAAGTTATACAAGAGTATTCAAGTCCTTTTACCAGCACACAGCAGCAGTTAATATCAGTCTTTCCACCATGAGCAGCTCCTTCTTTAAAATCTCTCAACCAGGGGTTGGAGGCCCTGGTGGAAGCTGTCAGTGTAGCAGTTCATGTAGGATAAACTCCATTTTACCCTCTCTGCAAGCACTGCAACTGTTCTGCCTGACCCACTTTGCCCTGCTCCTGGTGGCACTGCCATTTATCTTGTGGAGGTAGCTCTGCCCTCATGAACAGCAGATCACTGAAGAGTTTTGTTAGTCTTTCAGCTTGGAGAAAGCAAGACACAGGTTCTCTGTCCTGCTGCTGTTCCAGCATCCTTCAATATTCTACAGTCTGTTCAGATGCCAAGGCAAGGATTTACACTGACCTATTCTAAGTAAGCTCTGATTCATCACCTCAATGACAGACTAGAGCAAGAAGGTCCTGCAAGTCATAACTGTCTCTGCTTCACTAGAGTGCTCTGCCATAAAAGCAAGGTAGTAAATTTTACCACAGAACTGGAGGTTTTCAAATCACTTAGAAGAAGCTGATGATCTCAAATGCACATGTTAAATCCCAGGGTACTTAACTTAAAGCTGAATAGAGGTTGTGGACTGTCAGAAGATTGTGCACTACCAGCCTGACTCATGGCAAGACCAGATTTGGAGAGAGAACTGTGAATCTGGCATCCTCACACCACCCAGCACATGGTTCCACCTCACATTTTTCAATTAAGAGCAGTTAGGGAAACGTGCAGACATAAACACACACCAGCAGCCTTACAGTGTTGTGGCAGAATGGTGACAATCACCACACAGGTGGATTTGGTACTCTTTCTGTCACTGTAGCACCCTTGGAAGAGTGGGAAAAAGGGAAAAAACCCCAAACCTAAGGCATAGAATATCTCTATGCTATTATACTTTGGCTGTTCTCCTCCTCCCCTTCTCTTCTTCCACAACATTCCCTGGGTTTGATGTTAATATCCCGTTGCAGATAGACCAAGAAATCCCTTCATAATCCTGTACAATTTTTGCTTTGCTATCATTTATTCCAAGAAGAACAACCTATTTACTTCAATATCACACCTGAATATTGGCCAGTCTAACCAAGAGGAGCAAAGGGAGGTGTAAGAAGTCTGCACCACCACACACGCTTGCTTTGGGGACAACCTCATTTCCCCAGGCCTCAGGGGCAAACACTGGGGACTCAGCACTAGGGAATGATCCTCCAAATGGGGCAGAGAAATCAAGTGCTTGCATTCATACTACTTTATTTGCACCTTTCAAGCCAGGTACCTGTCTTAGCTGGGCTATTCTGGACTAACTGTACAAATTGGCTACTAGCATCGCTCCCAAGGGCAATCAGCCCACCTAAAATTTAATTCATCCTCTGTAATGAATGTCCTTACCAAGTCTAGGAAAAAACCCCTCAAGCAACAGCAATGAGGACTGAATCGAGGCTTGAACCACTGTGCAACCTTTACTCACCTGAAGGGCAGTGGAAATCTGCCTTTTTGAACTCTGCCAGCAGCTCCCTGTGCCTTTGCACTGCCATTAAGAAGGAAAGGTGCAAGACAGAGGGCAGGACCTACAGTGTACCTGTCCCTGCAGAAGTGAACTAGTGGGGAGAGCAAACCACCCTGTGAAGTGATGGGATGTTCAAAGCTATGCAATGGGACACATGGGACACGGCCATCCTACATACATCTCTCCTGCAGGAATTAATCTGCTCCCCTAATTAATTAATTCGTCCTTGGATGGGGAGGTGACAGCTTGGCCATGGAGGCCCAGTGAACAAGTGAGTGATATCCACCCATGGCTGTGGCTGGTTTGGAATGCAAGAATGGAGACTGTCCCACTGACTCACCCTTGGATGACGGTCTCTCCAGATCCGAATCCAGGTGGATCGGTGGGGCAATGTAGGAAACCTGCCCATGGTGAGCCTGCCCTGTGGACAAATAAGTGGTTTAGTTCTGCTGTTTCCTACACAGATCTATCAGGGCTACAGTCAAATACACAGCATTTTGATTCAAAACAGTCTCACAAGTATTTTGTTCTGTGTGTTTTTCACAATGAACTTCCATTTGTGGGGGCACCTGGTGACAAGCTGAAACCACTTCCATCTCTCACTTCTTTCTTGCAGAGAGGGGTACTCTGGTGAACTTTAGTTACACCATGTAACTAAAGTTTTACCACTACTACATATACTTTACACCATGTTCTCCTGAAACGTTTTCTCTCTCTCTCTATATATATGCTATGGAAGAGAACCCAATTTCATACAAACCCATTCAATCTGTTAATCTCACTTCAGGAGGGAAACAAGTGTTCCTATGTCACAGCCATTTTAGAAGGAAGCATGGCATGAAGCACAATCCCACCTGTTTTTCCCACCTGCAGGAGACACACATATCATTTTTCAGAGCTCAGCATTCCTTTCACATGAGTGGAAGATTTTTTTGGTTCCCAACACCATCATGCAGTTTCTCAGTTGCTAAAGACTCAATCCTTTTCCAACAATTTGGAGGTAACTATATCAAGAAACTTCTATTTATAATAAAAACACTTTTTTATAATTCATATATTTACTGTACCAATTTACAGGGTTGTTAATCTCTTCTTCTAAACATGGAAAGTTAATGACACATAGATTATGATAACAGTTAGAGTAACCTTCCCATTTCAAGTAATATTCGTTCTGCAATAAAAGCAGTTGATTCCTCTTAAGAGACACATTCCAAATAATTAATACAGCTCCCTGTTGACACTTGCTGTTGTTGCTCCAAGCAATTTCCAAGCTAGCGTCGCAGGCAGAGGAGCAGCAGTACAGTCTTCAGGCTTCTTTGTAATGACATCCAGGAATACCACAAGCACAGTATGCTGGTGCACATACTATGTTGAAAGCATCTCTTCAGGGAGATAAAATATTAATGAGAAAGGGGAAAGGGAAAAAAAAAAAAGAAGTGTACCTGAATGTGCAGGTTATGTTTACTGCTTTACACTGAGGATGACTCAGATAATTTGCATTATTAGCCATTACAACAACTGGACGTAATTCAGGTTTAAAATCTACCGACACATCATAAATTCTGTATTTGCTTTTAAGTGCTTTAACATGGGAAATTTGCTTCAGGCGAATCCATAGCAAACAACAAGTCACTCTGCTTTCCTCTCCTCGTTTACATGTTAAAAACCCATTTGATGTCATCAGTGAGCAGAAGTCATCATTTAATAGTGCTCGGTTCTGCAGCAGAAACAAGCAGACAGTCTTCTCTCACTCCGAGCTGCTCAGTGTGCAGGATGATCAGTGCCCTTATAAGACAGAACAGTCTCCTCATTTGCTGCATCAAAGATGCCACTGAAATGTAAAACAGCTGAGCTTGGCAGGAAACTCTGGAAATCACCTAGCCCAGCTCAAGGGCAGCAAGAGCCCATAGCAAGTGTCCAATCTGATTTCCAATATCTCCACAATCTCTCTGGGCAATCTGTACCAGTGCCTTACCACCCTCATAGGAAAAGAAAAAAAAAACAGAAAAGCTTTTCCATTATCTGCCTGTAAGAAGAGCCTGGCTCCATCTTTTTTATTCCCTGTCATCATGTACTTATACACATCAGTAAGATCCCTTGGATGATTTGGTCCAGGCTGGATACTCACAGCTTTTCAGCCCATCCCCACAAAGAGATGCTTCAATCCCTTTATCATCATTATGGCCTTTTGCTGGACTTGCTCTGAGCACAACTGCTGACGCATGGGTTTTGGGGTTTTTTTGTTTGGTTGGGTTTTTTTTAATCACCTGTTCTTCCTGGGAGCAAACCAAAAATAAAGAATTATTCTGGAGGCTTGAAGGGCTAGGCTGGAGTAAATAAGATACACCCACATTACATGAAAGACTAAAACACATCTCTAAGTTTGTTTAGACATTCATTACAATTGAGTAATAACTATGGAAGCCTATTATTGCTTTATTAAGGCTTTTACTTTATATGGAGGAAGCAGTAGCATCAAATGCTCTCTAGTGATAAATGAAACAAGTTGCAGAAAGCTTTTATCTATTTGCTGCTGATGCAAAACAGTACTGTACTTGCAAAAAAAAAAATAAAATCAGACTTCTGTTACTACTACTACTAGATACTGCTAAAAAAACCCCCAGACTTCTGTTACACTGCACACTTCTCTCAATGCTAATAAATCAAACTTTGGGTTATAATGTTCCTTCTTCAAAAAAAGCTATGCAAACAATTGTTGTGATTCATTTTCTGGGCGTAAATGCCAGCTCACTTGTTCTTCAGGCTCATCAGAGTGTTCAAACTGGAGAAACAAAGGGTCTCTACTATTACCTTATGAATATTTTTAATCAGCAGAATCACATTTTTGCTTTGGTTTTACCATTATTGCCAGTGGTGACCTTTGAGACAGTTGAGGGAAGGGAGGCAAGGGGAAGAAGAAGCAAGATCTGGCAATGGGGCTGGTGCACAAGTACATGGTCTCCTTGGCTATAATGGCATTAAAAATGCTGCCAACTCACTCAGTTAAAAAAAAAAAAAAATTACTCAATGTACCTATGAAAGGTTTTGAGACTGATATCACTGGTACAGGTCAAGCTGATCTCAAAGACTGACAGAACGAGCTTTCCCAAGTGAGGCCGACTCCCAGTCCCTGTGGAGTGAGTTCTGCAGTTTCAGGTGCTTACTGCAAGCCCCAGCCCTAGGAATGAGGGACTCCCTCTCTTCAGTTCCAGCTGCTGTAGAAAAGCACTTTGAAAAATGGATGTTGAGAGCCTTAAAAAGAAATAAATAAATGGCAGAAACACTCCAACACTCCACACCCGTCTCTCCAGTCCTTCAGCTGTTTTCTCTGCACATTGAGTCTGAGCTGACAGTGATGCAGGAAAAAGAAAGAGACTTCTGACAAACTACCAAAGGTCAAGATGTCTCTGTTGCTGATGGGAAGTTAAGCATGCCTTGTATCAGAACAACTTGTATGGCCTTGTCCTAGTCCCACCCTGCCTATACCCATCGGCTCTTTCTGCAGCCAGCTCCCAGGTAAAAAAGTAAACAGCAATCAAATGTAATCATCAAAGTAACGTTTGATGAAGTTGCCAATTTTGCACCTAGCAGCTCAGGTTGTGTTCTGTTTCCTTCATCCCTCTTGCCTGGAGAGGCCTGTGCCCATGGCTCCCTGTGAGGGATAATGCTGGAAGACAGCTGTGGATAGTCCCTGACCTGCTTTTCTTGCACCAAAACACAGGGATGCAGGGCTGGCCAACACTGCCTAAATATCAACCCCATCTCAGGTGAGACAGGGCAAGCACAGGTGTGTCACAGGTAGCCACAAATCAGCAGTCTTCATAGCAGCCAGGCCACCTGCATGTGCTGTGAAAAAAAAAAAAAAAACAACCCCATGTTTGGTAGAAACGATTTTGGGAGCAACAATATGGATATGACCTTGAAAGTCTATCTGGTGACATGTCCTCCTCAGGTAGAGGAAATGAGAAAGATGTTTGTGAATTAGAAAAAGTGCTTGACTGGCCATTATTTTCGGGTCTGACACATGAGAGATACAATGCATTTTAAAAAGCCAATAACTTAGGAGAACAAAGATAATGTTTTGTGAAGACTGAAGGAAACATAATAGCTTGGCCTAAGGGACTTTTTTTCCTTTACTGTTTTTTTAAAAAAGGGATCTGGATGCTCATAGACAGGAAATAAACATCCACACATCTTCAAAAATCTGCCCCTAAGTGATTTAGTCATCTACAGATGCAATGATATAAAACTACAGAAAAAATCTGCAAATGCATGGACTAACCAAGAAAAGTAGCAACAAAAAACTCTCATGTGTGTATCCATTAAAACCACTTTCTCTTGATCCTTTTTGGAAGCATACCCACTGTTTGCAGTACCTGAGAGGGAAGGCCTTCCTCCTGATCCTGGGCCAAATTTCCAGTGCTGGTGACGTTTGATTTTTCTAGAGTATAATGCACACTGTCATGTGTGCACTTGGGAAACTTTTCTGCCTGGCCCCTGCTCATTTTCTACCTGAGATTTTCCAGTGCACTATCAAAGAGAAAACCTGAATAGAAAACATGAGACTGAAAGATTCAAACCCTCAAAAGCAAAGGAAAAAAAAAAATCAACATTTACCAGGCTAAAAGGCCTTTTAAAACATTTGGTGACTTGCCTCCTAAAGCCCTGGTGATGCCATGGAGACAACCACAGTCACCTGAACGAATGGTTCTCCCTTTTCCCTGCTGCTCCTTTGCTCAGTGCCCATGGTGGGTATGGACAGTTGTGCACCTGAACTGCAGTTCTGCCCCACACCTGACTCACATCCAGCAGCAGCAGTGAGAAGCCACCAGGAGATATTTTTTTTTAAACAAACATCCTTCAGACTCTTTGTTCTCAAGGGATGAGAGTCCCTTTTCTTTGCTGTCCTTATCCAGAGGCGATCACTGCAACACATTTTTTTGCTGTCATGTCAGATTACTCAGATTTCCACCCATTTTCCAGCCTATTTTAGCATTCTTTTGTCTTCCACAGGTTCACCAGTTCCCAAGATCCTTTTTTAGACAACCTAGTCAGCATTTCATGCAGAGAATTTAATTTAATTTCGTGCTGGTATCTCTGATGACCCGTGTTCCCAGGTACCGCCTCTCCTACACCCCCTCTTGTCTGCACCTCTGAATGCAGGCACCTCCATGGATTTAATCCCTCATCTGTTAGTCCATTTGCTTGGATCATTAATTAGGTAATACCCATGAAACCACATATCCATTCCTGAGCCTTTCATTTCAGTTCTTCATATATTTTTCCTTTATAAAAAAATAACAATAGGATGGACACATACTAGGTATGCAAAAAACATTCTGAGGAAAATGCTTGGAAAACATAATGACAATTTTACTAACATCTCTACAGATAAAATATTCTTTACATACTGTGGCTTTT